TTTAAGGTATGATTTCTAACCCTATCCAAATTCCCCTCCCGTCTCTTCTCTTGCACGTATTTTTCCTCGTCCGGCAGTTGACTTGACCGTCGGAGTGCATACGGTCGCCGGACATTTTTCTTGGCTGGCGGCCATTTGCCGCCTAACGGGGTGTTCAGTGTGCAGGTGATGTCCACGTGGAGGGGACGTGGCGGGAATTCTGTTGAGCTCATTTTTTGGGGTCAACCGTTTCGATAATTATTGTGATAATTAAATATGATTATTAAACATCTATGCATTATCTAAACGAATATATTAATTAATTAATATAAAGGTTACTAATAAATGACATATATAATTAGTAATAAAGTTCGAACAATTTCCCTTTCGCTACAAACACCTATAAATAACACTTCAAAAATAAAAACTAAGCAGAAGAAAAGAAAAGAACATCCATTTTTTTGTGCCCGTGATCGTATTCCATAGACAAAGTTGGAAAATGGAAGAAGGTACATGTGATAGTATTATTTGATTATCTACTATTTTTATTTGCATATATGAGGTTTTATATGTAACTTATTTTAATATCTTCAAATTAGTACTTCAATAATCAAACATCTATTTTTGTAGCAGTCTTTCATTTTCATATTTAAAGTTAAGTCTACTATTTAAGTTTTGTAGTTATATTGATTGTACATGTTTATGAATTTTTTTTAATATCATTTCAGGGTTTAGCGGAAACAACCCAAGTAGCTCTTCAACCAAGATCAGCCATAAACCTGAAGTCGTGCCACTTGCTACCCTGGCTAGAATTATGAATATCATTCTGCCAGAGGACGTGAAGATAGCTGACGGGACAAAGAAGAGAGGCAAAGAATGCGTGGTGGAGTTCATATATTACGCCACAAATCAAGCAATTAAAAAGCATGGTGGAGCATGTTACGTTACTCTCACTACACAAGACGTGAATGACGCGATGAGAACGCTAGGATTAGATAACTACATAGAACCGCTCACTATTCGCATAATCGCATGAACAAATTAAGTTAAAACAAAAATACTTGATTCATGTTGTATTAATTTGCGGAAATATTTACTTAATTTATGCATTATTAATTACATATGAAATATTTAAATGTATAGGGCTCACAAGCTCAACATAATTATCCGGTTTAATTCGTCACAATTATTTCATTCGCGTTAGCGATCAAATTTATCTAATGTATTTGACAAGCTCTTTCGAATATAATCAAACATACTTAAATATGTGAATTTACTACATCTCTGCATGAAAATAATGTATCCAATCACAATAAACTCACATATCACAACACAAATTATAGATGTATGTTTATATCTCCCATTTAAATTCATGGTTTTTATTGTTATTTGTTAATGCTAAATCGACATTTTACTTTGACTTCAACACGAATTTCAAGGTATAACTATTTTAAGCTGCATTTTCATTATTTTCATAGAAAATAAATTCTTAAGGGTTTGGTGGATTTTTATTTTCCAACTAACATGTAATTGAAATTTCTTTTCACCTTTACCTATCAAACGGACTCTTACCAATAATTTATAGAAAAAGGAAGGAAAACATTGGAGGTCCCTCATCAAATCTTGCATTAAAGCTAAACTTACGTACCACAATAACATTTCATGCATTCACAGCTCAAAAAGAGGGGAAATTTTTTTGCATTAATACTGCTTCATTGGGTAACGATAATGTCGCAATAACACTTTATGCATTCATAGCTTAAAAAAAAAAAAAACCACCGAGTTGATTAATTGAAATGCATGCTTATTCTAAAGCATTATTATTTTTAGGGTCTGGACCTATTATTCATTCAATAGAATTGTTGTTGGCCATTCCCCGAATAAAAGTCATGGACAAATATTGTGCGAGTATAATATAGTCGAAATATGTATCACATTAGTTTTTCTTAAGCATTAAGAAATTTCAAAGAAAAAAGTCATTGTTATCTATTCTTGGGATAAAAGTCTTGGGAAAATATTGTGCGAGTATAATATAGTAGAAATATGTATCACATTAGTTTTTCTTTAGCATTAAGAAATTTCAAACAAAAACAAAAACTTTTTTTTTTTTTTGATCTTGCTACTTGTATTGATAAGTGTATACACTTATTCAGAACCTAAAATAGCGATATTTGGTAGTTCTTTAAATAAAATATATTTTAAATTGTATTATTTTATGTTAAATGTGTAAAACTCAATGATTGAACGAGAAATTGAAAGAAAGAAGCGAAAATTGGTGAAAATGACGAAATCCAAAATTTGGAAGACCAAATTGAAAATATTCAATAGTTGATTTGAACCACAAGAAGATATTTTGAAGAGTACTAGGAGACAATTAGATGCAATTAAAAGTAAAAAAAAAAGAAAGGAATGATCAAAATATTATCACAAATTAATTTACAATCGCACAAGTTATATTCCATTTTTGAACCGAAAATTAAGACCCATTTTTGGCATAGTAAATGTTTGAATTTGAAACATCCTATTTCTAGCAAAGTTGTATCACTTTGAGTTAGCTTTCCATATACTTTGAATCGCTTCAATCGAATATCAGGAGATAAATTTACGACTAAAATACTGACAATTGCATAGAGACAAAAAGCATGCGCGCACGAAGACAACTTTCATTATTTGATTGGAACTCTTTTGGAAACCAATTTGTAGTGTGTTTGAATCTAATTTTGAGGAGAATAGAAATTTTAGAATAGTGAATGATGTGAGAATGTGTGGTGGAAAGGTGATGAAAAGTTTTTGATTTGTGTGTAATATTATTTTGTGTGTTTGGTAGGGATTTTTTGGGGGAAGAATTGATTTTGAATAGTAATATGATGGGAAATGTGTGGTTGAAAAAGAAGATAAGATTATTGATGTGATAGAAAATATTATTTTATTGAAGAATGTGTGGTTAAAAATGAGAATTGATTTACTGTTAAAAATGAGAATTGGTACCAAACATAGCCTTTATTTGGAGAATGTGTGGTTGAAATAAAGAATGAAAATGAAAAATAGAATGAGAATGAGAAATTAATGGGTGTAAATGGGGGCTTGGACATGATTTTCAATCAATTTTCTATTCCTACAAATACCTAACAGGAGAATACATATTAGACACATCTCATATACCTTTCATACTATAATATTCCATCAATTTTCATCATAAAAGTGTAGCAAAATCATATATTGTGAGAATATTTCAAAGGCGAAGTTCAAGAACTCATCAATTAGAGATTAAATCTGATATTTGTGGGTAAAGAAATGAAAGAATTATCGAAAATTTATCAAAATTACTGTGAAGAAATTCAAGAATATCAAGATTCATCTTCCTTCATTCATTAATTCACAATTTCGGGTGATGTTATATACATTTAACATAATTTCTTGTAATTCCAATATGTTAGATTAGTTTTATATTGTAGGATGAGATGAACAATTGTTATGATATTTTTAATTTTTAATTAATCATTTTGACTCTAATTTGGTTTGATTTGTGTATGTTTATTATAATTTTTATCGTTCTTTTTAATTGTTTGATCATCAAATGAATTGTTTGTACATTTTATTGTTACCAAGAAGGCAAGAAATATAATAAGATTTAAGTACAATATAATAAACATTATAAGGTTCAATAGCGGATATAAATATACTTCTATGCTTTATATGATTTTAAAAGGTGTTCTAACACCTGTTAATGAATTTATCATGTTTACATCTTTCATCTAAAGATAGAAAAGTCACATGAGGAAAATAGGTTTGGCCGCTATCGAGAGAGACTTTCAATTAAATTAGGAACATTGACCAACATGAATGATTTCAAATTGTCAATTTAATTGCTATATTAAAAATGGAATAACGATGAGGATTCGATATCTTAACAATGCATCTTACATATTTGAAAATTATATTTACTTACTTTCATTAGTTTAATTGATAATTTAGTGATTAGTATGGAAAGATCGCAACAACTTGTTTGCTATTTGATTAAAGTTGACATTAATATTAACTCGGTCAAACATATAGTTTTCATGGGTTCGACACTCTATTCATCATTATATTATTTGATCAAGATTCCATGCACTTGCGGGAAATCAAGCAATCAAGTTTTTTGCATCGTTGTCGGATATTATTATTTTTAATAAGTTTTAGTTAATTTTTGTTTTAATATGATTTTTATTGCTTTAGTAGTTTAGTTTATTATATTAGAAAAACTTTAGAGCGTTTCTTGGTTCCTTTTTCAGGACCTTGTATGTGAAATTTGAGAACCGATGATTTTGCTCAATTTGATCCAGAGATCGAAAGAACATTCAACATCCGAAGAAGACAATAGTTGGAAACACACCAAAAACAGAAAAAAAGAAGACATATGAGCCCATGTTTGACACACATTCTTTCAAAACTCATTTTCAACCACACATTTTTCAATAAAATAATATTTTTCATCACATCAATAACTTTTCCTTACTTGTTAACCACATATTTTCCATCATATCATTATTTAAAATACATTATTTTCTCAATAATATCCATCAAACACCCCTTAAATGTGACTATAGCTAATGAAAATGTAAGGATAATGGGTAATCAACAATTCGAAGTGCTTTTCTTGTGTATTCTTGATAAACCAACGTTTAGGAGAGTTTTGAGTCTATTTCATTTTTATTGGAGTATATGGTTTCACCGGTTGTGGAAAGCTAGTCTAGTATAGTATATTTGGCGTTTGGTCAAGCGAGCTTTCATTTACGGACAGATGTCATAAATATGTTTTGGAATGCTCTACAGTTCTTTGGGAGAGATACTGAGAACCCCAACGCTCACATATCAAGATTCTTGGACATATGTGCAACAATCAAGTATCTGGGGATTTCAAATGAAACAATAAGACTGAGTTGTTTCCCATATACATTGAGAGACTCAACCCAAGAGTGGTTAGACCATCTACTCAACATATGCGAAGAACGAATAAGAGCTTGCAAGTTCAGGAAGCTGCCGTAAAAAAATTGGAAAATTAGATGGGACAGATAGCCAAGGCACTTTCAGAGAGACCACCAGGAGAATTTCCTAGTGACAATGAAACAAATTCTAAGGAGCACTGCAAGGCTATAACTACTCGCAGTGGGGTATAACTACTTGAGATAAATGTGAAGAGGCTAATTGCTACATGAGAGAAGGTACCTACCATGATTAAGGAGCATTTGGAGGAATCAGAGCAAAACAAAGAACAAGAGAAAGCATTAGATGATCCAGATGTTAAGTTTTCGAAGTTCCTTGAGTTATTCAAAAAGTTGCAGATCAATATATCATTTGTGGATTCAATTGCACAAATACCCAGTTACGCAAAATTCATGAAAAAGATACTCAGAAACAAGAAAAAGCTGGAGGATTTGGGGATAGTTATGTTGAATGAAAAATGCAGTACTGATGTGATCCATAATACGAGAGCAAGTTTGGGTAGTGATCCATTGATCGTTGAGGAAGGGCTTATGACTAGGTCGCAAGCGAAGCGGGTCAAAGAAGCAATGTAATTACTTGCTCAAGTCACGATGGACAAAATATTGATCACGGCAAACAAATAGTCAAATTTCTTGTTGGGTATGTGAGATGAAGTTGAGCAACTTGATTCAAGTAATGGACGGAGAAGATGGATTGAACAATTATGTGACCGCATAGTTGTTCAGGGCATGCGACCCTTACCGAGACCACATAGGAGAAGTTTAGATAATCCATGCGACCGCATAGATTTACACAAGGCGACCGCATAGTATATTTCCACCGCGAATTTTTCAAATTTCGCGCAATCTTCTATTTTAGTTAAAATTCTATTTTGTGGTATCTTTTATTATTTTTAGGATTTAATTCCCTTTTTATTAGGATTTTAGGGATTCCATATAAATATACTTATTATTTTCATTATAAAACACACATTTTGAGAGATATTATTGCCAGATTTACTGTTTTTTTCTTATTCTTCATTCAATTAATTCTGAACTTATCAAAAATTAAATTCTTGTAGCGTTAATCAATTTAAGTAAGGTTCATGAAATTGTGATCATGGGGTCAAGATATTATTGTGAATTGTCCTAGTTTTTTGGTTCAATAATTTATTAGGTCGAGCTTTCAAACGTTGATTTTTGGCTTTCTTGGGTTTGATCTAATCTGACGTGGGTTCGTAGCTTCAATTGTTACATGGGTTCGCATCAAGTGCCATCCTACAAAATAAGTTGCCACCTAAACTAAAGGACCTAGGGAATTTTAATATCCCTTGTACTACATGAAATTTGATAAGGTTCTTTGCTATTTAAGTGCTAGCATTAACCTTGTTGGGGAGAGACAAAGGCAACATCGATCTCTTTGTAGTTGGCAAACAGATCTATAAAATTTCTCAGGGGAATTATTGAAGATATATTGGTAAATGTCGATAAATTTATTTACCCTGCAGATTTCGTCATTTTGGACAAAGTTGAGGAGCACAAGAATGTGCCATTGATATTGGGGAAACCATTCTTTGTAAAATGTCAGGCCTTAATAGATGTTCAAAAGGGATAATTGATGTTGATATGGTAGATTTGGTTATGGAGAAGACTTTTATTCTTGAGCACCCTCAAGACCATTTAGAGGTTCTTCTTGTACACTCATAAGATAAAAACTCAATAGTGGAAGAGATAAGCTAGAGTGCCTACATTATAGAGTACTTCATCCATCAGAAGAAAGTAGTTTGAAGAACTTGGTGTAAGACCTATAGAACCACTACATTCTATTCAGAAAGCACCAAATCTTGAGCACAAGCAATTGTCGTCACATCTAAGGTATGCTTACTTAGGAGAGTAATCTATACTTTCTGTGATTATTACAAATGCGATGACCTAGTTGGAAGAGTATAGACTACTAAGAGTTCTACGAGAATATAAAATAGCTATTGAGTGGTCTATAGTAGACATCAGAGAGATTAGTCCACCAATATGCATGCACAAAATCTTTATGGAAGAAGATTATAAGCCAAAAGTGGAAAATCAGTGTAGATTGAATCCCACCATGAAGGACGTCATGCGAGCAAAGGTATTGAAGCTCCTTGATGAAGGCATCATCTATCTTATCTCTGATAACAAGTAGGTCAATTCGATTTATGCTGTGCCAAAGACATGAGGGATTCAGTGGTAAAGAATGAGAATAATAAGCCAATACCAACAAGGCCAATCATGGGATAGGGATTGTGCATAGACTGCAAGAAGTTGAATGATGCAACTCAAAAGTAACACTTTCCCCTACCCTTCATCGATCAGATGTTGGAAAGACTAGTAGGACATTCACATTACTGCTTCTTGGATGGGTAATCAGGAAAACTACATTTACGTGACCCTATGGTACCTTTGCATATAGGGAGATGCCATTTGGGTTATGTAATACTCCTGCCACATTTCTGTGATGTACGATGACAATCTTTTCAGATGTGGTGGAGAAAATCATTGAAATTTTCATGGATGACTTTTTGGTGTTTGGTTCATCATTTGAGAGTTACCTCTCAAATTTGGGGATGGTCTTACAACGATGTGAAAAAATGAATTTGGTGTTAAACTGGGAGAAACGCCACTTCATTGTCCACGAATGAATAGTACTTGGGCATATATTTTAGCAAATGGTATTGGGATAGATAAAATAAAGGTTCAGGTGATAAAGAAGTTACCTCCACCAACTTCAGTTAAAGGAGTACGTAGCTTCCTCAGCCATGCAAGGTTCTATAGGAGGTTTATCAAGGATTTCTCCAAAATCGCCAAGGCTTTTTACAGCTTACTACATCATTCAGCTTTCTGAAGAGTGTTTGACATCTTTCAACACTCTAAAAGAAAAGTTAATTTCAGCATCGATTATAGTTGCACCAGTCTGGGGACTGCCATTTGAATTGATGTGCGATGCTAGTGACTACAAAGTAGGGGCAACACTTGATCAAAGAAAGGATAAAATTCTCCATGTCATCTACTACGCGAGCAAGACTTTGACAGAGACACACCTGAATTATGCAACCACAAAAAATGAGTTGCTAGCTATTGTGATTGTCTTTGATAAGTTCAGATCATATCTCATGGGACAGAAGGAATTGTCTACACAGATCATGCAACCCTGAAATATCTGATGTCTAAGAAGGACGCGAAGCCTAGGTTGATTTGGTGGATACTTCTCCTTCAAGCGTTTGACTTGGAGATTCGAAATAAGAAAGTAAGTGAAAATGTGGTAGCAGTCGACATTTCGAGGCATGAATAGGTAGAATACAGGGATGAGGTCGATATAATGTATTCTTTCCCAAATGAGCGTATCTTTGCAGTTGACTGTATACCATGGTATGCAGATATAGTGAATTACTTGGCATGTGATGTACTTTCACTTGAGTTAATGCATTACCAAATGAAGAAGTTCTTTTCGGAGTTGAAATACTATCATTGGGAGAACCCTATATTATACGGGAGGGGATGCTGATCAGATTATTCGAAGATGTATGCCAAATAAGGAGATCGTTCAGATTTTGGAGCATTGTCACTCTTCAGCTTCTGTGGGGGCATTTTGGCTCTTCTAAGGCAACAACGAAAATTATACAATCTATTGGTCCTTACTGTTTAAGGATGCTCGTGAATACGCAAAACACTGTGATCAATGCCAACGTATAAGGACTACTTTCAAAAGGCATGAGATGTCTCTGAATTCAATTCTAGACGTGGAGCTCTTTGAAGTTTGGGAGATAGATTTTATAGGACCATTCCAAACCTCTTACAACAATCAGTACGTGTTGATGGTAGTTGACTATGAAATGGGTTGAAATAGTAGAAGCACCAACTAATGATGCTCGAGTGGTTGTTAATTTTTTGTAGACCTCGTCGAGCCTAACTATAAGACCTCGTCTATTCGATGCCAGTTTATAAGACTCCAATAGTTTGAGAGCTATTCACAAGATGTTTATTCTACACCTCGCCATATGCTTATTCCTAGCTTTGCGAGATGTTTATTCCTCGTTTCTCACTATCGTCGAGCCTAGCTATAAAATCTCATCATTTCGAGGGCAGCTTATAAGACTTCAACAGTTTGAGAACTATTAACAGAACGTTTATTCCCTATCTCGCAGATACTTATTTCTAGCTTCGCGAGATGCTTATTCTTTGCCCGTCAATATCGACGAGCTCAGTTATATGACCTCCTCATTTTGAGGCCAGCTTTTAACACTCCAACAATTCGAGAGATATTTATGAGATGCTTATTCCCCACTTCGTTAGATCTTTATTCCCAACTTTGCGAGATGTTTATTCGTCGCATCTCACTATCGTCGAGCTTAGTTTATTCGCCGCATCTCACTCCTCATCTCGAGGCTGGCTTATAAGCTCCGATAGTTCAAGAGATATTCAGGGGATGTTCAATGTGCATGTGCATCCCTATGTAGAGGGGATATGGTCGGGATACTGTTGGCCAATTTTTTTAGGTCAACAGATGATATTTATAAACCTAATATGTCTCTAACTTCAAAGGAGTACAATTTGTATTACTTTATATTCTCATTTACTTTATTCAAACTCGTAGAAACTATGTACCATAAGACAATTGTTGCATCTAAATATAATTTCATTGCCAAGGAAAATATTTTCATGTTTTAATGTAAAATAAGTATAAACAAGTAACACATTAATCAGTTAACAATGTAAAATTTCCATCACAATGCAATTCGACGCCTTGATTTGTCATTAATGTAAGTAAAAAATTAAATATATGTATGCAACAAGCACCCATTCCCCAACAAAACACTTCGACAACAACAACCTTATAAAGGTAATTCAATTATGACAATTTTGAACAATTCACCAATCATAACCATCTAAGACTAGTTCATGAAATAAGACTTGTAAATTTTCATGAATTTTCAAAATGTTTGCAAGTATTAAAATTCTTGTTTTATAGTATCTCTAGGAGACTCTCTATTTTTAAAGGATATATTTTACAATTTCGAAATCATCTATACATTTAGATAGTAAAAATTTATAAGTATTCCAACATACTCTTTATATTTAACACTTAGTTTTAGTACTCTCCAAAGTTTTGATAAGAAGATGGCATTGATGATTGTGAAACTACTTCCACGATCTTAGTTTATTTATATCTTGAAATTGATAAACTCAAATAGTGGCGTATTTGTGTTAGGTCTAAAATCTTGGATTGAGATGCAAATTCCCCTTTGAAGCTCCAAGTGTATTCGGATGATATTCCATATTGATCTAAAGTATTCTTTATGAAATGGGTTGTGTGCAAAATAGAGTTGGATTAGACTAGAATGCATTATTGAAATTGAAATTTTATCTTGTGTCATCATCGGATATCTATTATTTTCCATGTCCAATCAAAATGTTTAAATAAACTTAAACTTTAGAGAAAATTGCAGCCACGGTACCAAACATTTCAACTTTTTGCAGACTTTTTTCAAACCTTTGATTTGTCCTACCCACGGTACCAAACCTTCAAACAATTCGCAGGTCAAGTCCGAATGGATGGGAACCGTTAGTTGACTGTTAATTGACTCCAAAAAATAACAAAGGGCAAAATGGTAATTTCATAATTTTAACATAAAAAAAGAAAATAAAAGAATTAAATTAAAAAACCCCCCATGTTCATCTTCTTCCTCCATCACCAACCCCAACCCAACCCAAAATAGAGCAAATTCATCATATCAGAAATCACATAGACACCCTCTGAACTCGACTTCTCTTCCTCCACCGATCGTTGCTCCACCACCTTAGGCTTTGTGGTTTCCTCATCAGAGGTTGACGGAGCTTTTCGAGCTCATCGATTCCAGCGAGGACAATGAGTTTGGATTTAAGAGTTTCTTCTTGCTCCTTGTTTAGGGTTTTGCCCTGGGAGAGGGACTCTTCCATCTGTAGTATACGATTCTGCATCTTGCGGAGGGTTTGTTGATGAGGGTGAGGACTGGTCCTTCAGTTGTCAACTCAACTGATGATGAAGATGCCGCCATGGTCATCGCCATTGTGGGGATTGTTGAGGATGTGCAAATGAAGAAAGAGATGATGAATATTGACCCGCCATGAAGAAGATGAACAGTAGTAGATTTTTTTTTTTAAATTTAATGTACTCTAGTGAATTGATTGGAAACCACAACCATAGATTGTTTGGGGATTTTACAATTGATTGTGTTAATTTTCTAGTTGTGTGTTTGCCGTAGTTTGGGGATTTTACAAATGATGCAAAAAGTAATTTTTTTTTCAGTTGTGTGTCCTGTTCTGCAATGGCAATGGTGTAGTGGTGTTTGGGAGGTGATTCCACCGTTGGTGGTGGAAAGTGGTGGTCGACAGTGGCGGCCAACGAGTTTGAGGGTGAGGGTGGTTTGTGAAGAATGTGAATAGTGTTATCTTTTTTATTTTTTTATGTTAAAATTATGAAGTTACCATTTTGCCCTTTGTTGATTTGGTTAAAATAATTTTTTGGAGTCAATTAACAGTCAAACTAACGATTTACATCCATTCGGCCTTGACCTGCAAATTGTTTGAAGGTTTGGTACCGTGGGTGGCACAAATCAAATGTTTAGGCAAAATCTGCAAAAAGTTGAAATATTTGGTACCATGACTGCAATTTTCCCTAAACTTTAACTCAATTCCTATAGTGATGAATATGAACGCAATTGAAATTCTTGGGGAGTTATACATTTATGTATTGATAACATCATTAACTATTTTTTGAAACTCAAAACTATATTCAATTTTGCTAAATTTATATCATGATTGGCAGCTTTATTTACACTTTATAATGTGAAACAATTTTGTAATTGATTTTAACAATATTCAATGTCCTCGATTTTTACACATCACAGAATGTCATCCATAATGTGCAAAAGTGATGTACAAGTAACTTCATTCAAGTGGGATCACACTACATGTACATCGAAGTTGACATCTTGACGTACAACCCCCCAAGGCCTTTCTATTTTTTTATTGATCGTGGACCCCCCTCCTCTTGTGAGGGGGTTTTACTATACCCAATGTACAAATATCATTTTCTTCTTTAAAAGAAAGGTAGAAATCTAGGCTAAACACAAGTCCGTGAAGGGGAAAAGTCTAATCTCTAGTTTTGGTCCATTTTTTCCATATAATTTTTAAAGCCAAAATTCAAAGTACGGTCCGTACCTGTTTTATGGGCAAAACTGACATTTCATAGATCGTGGGGTGGGGTCCCTTGGAGGAAAAAGAAAGGAATAAAGCCAAAAATAATGCTCGTCCACTCGTCTCTCTCTCTCTCTCTCCATTCTTCCTCCGCCTTCGATCTCGTTCTCAACGTCAATTCTCATTCGAATCAATTCAATTTCTGTTATTAGTAATTTATTTCACTGTCAATTGAACACAGAAATTGTTTTTTCCTTCAATTTAACGTAAAATCTGTTTTTTGTTTCTTATGCCCAAAAAGCTGATCAGGATTCAGAGCCAGAGAGGGAAAGAGAAATAATTAGTGGGAAGAAGCAGAGAAAGAAAGAAAGAAAGGGATCGGGTGTTTTAACCAGATCTGGATCTGTCGTCATTTTCGTATTCAGTGCTTTGATTGCCTTCAAATCCATTCAATTCACTCTCACCTTTTCCTAGACGATAACAACAAACAAACTTGTATTTTCTCTCTCTATCTCTCTGTCTCCGCTTTCAATTTCCACAGGTCAGGTTTCAGACCTATTATTACTATCCTTTCACAATCTGGCACTTTTATTTTTGTTTTGAATAATGTGACAGTGATTTCCTTATGATAATTGAGTTTTGCCTTTTGTTTTGCAGTTCTGGCTTTTTCTTGGAGGCTGTGGAGGGTGCTCCTTTTATGTTGAGCAGTGATTAATTTGTCGTTATTTATGCTAATTCGATCGCTGCTAAGGTAAAGCTCATTTATCACAGTTCTGGGTCAGGATTTCAAGAATTAAGAGGAATTTTGGTTTTTTTTTTTGGAGGAAAATTGCTCTACTGCATCTTATTGGATATTTTGGGTACATTTGTTCCTTATTACTCTAAATGAACAGCTGCAAATAAGGAGAAATTATAGAGAATGAATTTTATTGGCCGCCCCATTGTGTTTATTGTTGGTTTAAGACTTGGGGAAAATTTATAGTGGTTTTTAATTGGGGGCAAAAAGGGGAGGAAATACACCTGGGCGGTCAATTTTTGTTTTAGGAATTGTTTTGTACAGGGCTTAGTTATGCTATTCTCCAATGCTTCATCCGCGGTGGTGGATCCTCTATGTCTTCCGGCAAACCATTATTGTCTACCTCTGAACTGTCATCTGCGCCAAGCCCTCACCATCGCTGTCACTCATCACTGACAATCAGCTCACTGGGACGTCTGTGTCACAACACATCGATCTCTTCATATGTTACTGACGAGACACAAGATAGCAATTCTTACTATCGAAACGATGAATTGGAGGACGAATTGGAGGAAGACATTGCCCCGTTAGGAGGTGGTTTAAGGAATTCTGTTGAATGTCCTGCTTATCTTCAAACCAGAAAGAAGTTCGAGTCAGTTGACCTTCAGGTGCCACTTCCCCTACCTGAGAGAAAACTCCTTGTGTCATGGGGTGGTGTGACGGATCCACAGCACGTTTGGTCTATGCATGAAGTTTCTGAGGCTTCATCTCAAGCTGTTTCTTCTGGGATCCAGGATTATTTGAACAAGTCCCAGAGGTCTGAGAGGTTCCTTCAGATAAGCATGCAGCTTAAAGAAAATTTATCACATCATGATAACCCTAGGTTGATCCATATTAATGATCCTAAGAGGACTAATGATAATTTTGAGTTTTCTGGGAATGAGATCCGGACCAGTAAATATACATTCCTTAATTTTTTGCCTAAGAATCTCTTCATTCAGTTCCACCGGGTTGCTTATTTGTATTTTTTAGCTATTGCTGCTCTGAACCAGCTTCCACCTCTTGCTGTCTTTGGGAGAACAGTATCCCTTGTCCCTCTTCTGTTTGTGCTTACTGTAACAGCTGTAAAAGATGGTTATGAGGACTGGCGAAGACACAGGTCAGACAGGAATGAGAATAACCGGGAAGCTCTAGTGCTTCAATCTGGGGAATTCAATCCAAAAAGATGGAAAAAGTTACAGTCTGGTGAGGTAGTGAAGATCTGTTCTGATGAGACAATTCCTTGTGATATGGTGTTGCTGAGTACAAGTGATCCTAGTGGAATTGCCTATATCCAGACAATGAATTTGGATGGCGAGTCAAACTTGAAGACAAGGTATGCAAGGCAAGAAACAAATAAATTATTACTTGATGGGACAATAATATCCGGGGTTATCACATGTGAACAGCCAAACAGGAATATCTACGAGTTCACAGCCAACTTGGAGATAAAAGGGCAAAGGTTTCCTCTCAGCCAGTCGAACATTATTTTGCGAGGTTGTCAGCTTAAGAACACAGAATGGGCAATTGGAGTAGTAGTTTATGCTGGACAGGAGACAAAAGCTATGCTGAACAGTGCAATGTCACCTGCTAAACGCAGCAGATTGGAAACCTACATGAACCGGGAAACATTTTGGTTGTCAGTTTTTCTTTTAATCATGTGCCTTGTTGTTGCAATTGGGATGGGCTTATGGTTAAATAGCCACAAGAATCAACTTGATACATTGCCTTATTACCGGAAAATATATTTTGAGAAGAAGAAGTTCGGGAAAAAGTACAAATATTATGGAATTCCAATGGAGACCTTTTTTTCTTTTTTGAGTTCTATCATTGTGTTTCAGATAATGATTCCGATATCTCTTTATATCACTATGGAGCTGGTTCGGTTGGGACAATCATATTTCATGATTGGTGACAGGCATATGTATGACAGTAGCTCTGATTCAAGGTTTCAGTGCAGATCCTTGAATATTAATGAGGATTTGGGACAAATACGCTATGTATTTTCTGATAAGACGGGCACACTAACAGAAAACAAGATGGAATTCAGAAAAGCAAGTGTTTGGGGAAAGCGATATGGTAGCACACTCTCTGTGGATGGAACAGGCCACACAAATGTTGGAGGTATGGGATTTGGCTTGTTCAGTCATTTTAGTTTATTTTGTACTTTCTATAGTCACTGATGGTGCCATGGAACACAGATAATCTGTTCTGAAAATGTTAAACATATATCTGTAATATGACTAGCATAAATTTATGTTTTAATCACTATCTTATTAGATTTGGCTACACTGAAGAATGAAGATAGTAAATCTTCTCTCTCTCTTTTTTTTCCTTGCAATGGTAAAGTCAGGTATTTTTATTTTTAATTTCTTTACCAATTTTAGCAGAAATCTGGAAATTATTAAGAAATTATAGTTTTATGGTTTATTCTTGATTCCCTAGATGTAGTTGTGATGAACTTTTTTCACCTTCTATTTGGCAAGGGTATTTACTTGTTATGGAATTGTAGAGTTGATTAGATCTATTTTTTCAAAGGAAATATCGTAAATGATAATTATGGAGAAAATTAAGATCTCAAGCTATGGGAGAGGATGAAAAATACTATCTTAGGTCTCATCTCAAAGAAACAAAGTCCATATAGTACTGGAAGTGGGTTCTATGCTTCATTTCTTATTGTTCATTGAGTTTGACCTGATGACAAGAAAATGATGTACACGTCTTCGGACTTCCAGAAAAAAATATTAGAGGATTATCAGAGAGCAGAAAAATATGGAAACTATAGAAGTTTTTTATTGCCCCAATTTTATTTGGAAAAACAAATATCCTTAGGCAAATGAACACTCCATGTTAGACTTACGAAATGCCAGGTTACTGAGTGTGGTAACATTGCAAATCAAGAATGAAAGATTTTTGCTTTCACTTGGCACTGCGAATTTGTATCTACTCTCTCAGTCTAATGCTTTAACTTCCTGTGTAAATATTAAAATCCTCAAAATGTGGCACAATTCACATCATTTAATACATGCACAACTAAGGTAGATGGTGTCACGGCAGAGGGCATTGACAATGATGGCAGTTATTATGCATCATCTCCCTTCCTGTTGTCATTTACCCAGCTCATTCCTTGTGGCCTACTTTTCTCACTCTATTTTGTTTCATTTCATTAGAACATCCTGTACTTCCCTTGTAAGTTCAATCATTCTCATCCTATATTCCTTTTTTTATGATTGCTGATCTCTTAGAGTTCTTTTATGTGAAAGACCTGTGGAATCAAGTAATGCTTAAATAATGGTTGTCATCCACAATTTTATAAACACATCATATGCTTGTGTATAATTGTATGTGCTCATCGTGAAGATTTAGCAAATTAAACTGCATCGATTATGTACCATGTAACATTGTAATAAATCTGTTATGAATCTGTGCAGCGGAAGCTGTCTTGGAGGCTAGAAGAACATGGAAGCTCAAATCTGAAATTACCCCTGATTCTGAACTCCTCAAATTGTTGCACAATGATTTGTCTGAAGACGAAAGGATTGCTGCACACGAATTTTTTCTGACACTCGCAGCATGTAATACCGTGATTCCTATTCCCACCCAATCTCCATCTTCTATTGACACTGACAGTACATTGGGGGCCAGTTATGGAATCATCGATTATCAGGGTGAATCTCCTGATGAACAGGCACTGGTTGCTGCAGCGTCTGCCTATGGGTATACCCTTTTCGAGCGGACATCTGGGCATATTGTAGTTGATGTCAATGGTGAGAAATTAAGGTAGAAGTTTCTCACTTCATTTTCTGTACTTCAATTGGATTTTTCAATTTTGGAATTTTGTTTTCATTCCATATTGCGTTTTTCTGGATGAGTCAGAGATGATTTGCAGTACACTAGCATGATTTTTCTTGTTCTCTATGGTACAACACCCACAACCACTTTCTTCGTTTATTCTCGTGTCTTTTTGCAATTGAATTAGTAGCTTATTTGGGATAACTTATAAAGGGATTATAATGAAGAGGATTTATGAGTCCCACAAAATGTGTGGTTAATAAGTGGGTAGTAGTTGTGATTGTGTGGTCAAAATTAAGGTTTGATTTTGACCTCAAATTATAAGGAGCTTATAATTTTTCCCAAACATGCACCAAGTCTGATCAGTGTACCCGTTGTGACAATTTTTCGGTGACTTCACTTCATACCCTGCCATTTCTTGCCTTGTCAAATTTCAAGTTGATGGTCATGCTTATCATTTCTAAATGTGCAATGCAGGTTGGTTGTTTTGGGTCTTCATGAGTTTGATAGCGTGCGTAAAAGAATGTCTGTTGTTATCAGATTTCCAAATGATACTGTAAAGGTATTGGTGAAGGGGGCTGATACATCTGTGTTCAGCATTTTAAAGAGAGACCATCCTGATGATAATCATACAAAACATGCTACACAGAGTCATCTGAATGAATATTCATCTGAAGGTTTGCGCACCCTAGTTGTTGCTTCTAGGGACCTTACAGGTGAAGAACTCGTGGAATGGCAGTCCATGTACGAAGATGCAAGCACATCCTTGACAGACAGATCTATAAAATTGCGTCAAACAGCAGCTCTTGTAGAATGTGACTTGACCCTACTTGGGGCCACTGCAATCGAGGATAAGTTACAAAAGGGTGTACCAGAAGCCATTGAGTCCCTGCGGCAAGCCGGAATAAAGGTGTGGGTTCTTACTGGAGATAAACAAGAGACAGCCATTTCTATTGGTCTTTCTTGCAAACTCTTGACTGCAGATATGGAACAGATTATTATAAATGGAACTTCAGAGAGTGAATGTAGAAAATTTCTTTGTGATGCTAAGGCCAAATATTGTGTGAAATCTGCAAATAGCTGTGACCAGATATCAGAATGGAGAAAGAATACTGAAAATCATTACCTTGAGATTCCTCTTGGCAAAAAGTTATCTAGTTTACAACAGCAGAATGCAGGACAGGAGGAAGGAACTTCTTTTGGACCACTAGCACTTATAATTGACGGGAATAGTCTGGTTTACATATTAGAGAAAGATCTGGAGTCTGAGGCACGTGTAATTTCTGCCTTTTTTGGTTATCTTTTGATGTTTTGATATGTTTATATTGTTCCACATGCTTGGTTTTATTTGTCAGATTCTTGAATCTGTTAGCTTGTCAAATTGCTTGAGTTGGACATAAATGTGCAAAGTTTAATTGCATTCTTTGGCTGTATGAAGTTATGCATTTAACTTACCAAGCTTCTAATTTTGTAATTTTTCATTGTTTACCAGCTATTTGACCTCGCAACTTCGTGTAAGGTTGTGCTTTGTTGTCGTGTAGCACCCTTGCAAAAGGCTGGAATTGTAGACCTGATCAAATGTCGGAGCGATGATATGACTCTAGCCATTGGTGATGGTGAGTTGGTTACTTGGGAATTCTGTGGCATTGTCTGGAAGAAGTTGCATTTGAGTTCTGGTTAATCCTTTGAAGCCTGCATTTGTTTATATGTTTGTGCTGTTTTCTTTCAATTGAGAATGTCGTGCTAAAATGTGTGGTGTGTATGCAAGCTATATGCTAGATTCATCTCAGAGGAAGGTTTTTTGACTTGCTTTCATCTAATTGACACTGTATTTGCAGGGGCTAATGATGTTTCCATGATCCAAATGGCGGATGTTGGTGTTGGAATATGTGGTCAAGAAGGGCGTCAAGCAGTAATGGCCTCAGATTTTGCAATGGGACAGTTCAGATTTTTGAAACGATTGCTTTTGGTGCATGGACATTGGAATTATCAGCGCATCGGTTATCTGGTTCTTTATAACTTCTACCGTAATGCTGTTTTCGTGTTAATGCTTTTCTGGTAAGCCCAGCATCCTTGGTAGTTATGAATTCAACCAGTTGATGACGACGACATTCTAGTGGTCCAGTTTTGCCTTCAATTGTCTAGTGTTATTGTTCCAGTTATACCTTCAATTGTCTAGTGTTATTGTTATGAGTTGTCTTTTTATATGTTTCAAATGCTTGTTAGAACTTAAATTTGTATCACATTTTCAATGAAATTGCTGATGCTTAAGGAGAACTGCCCTGAATTAAGATTTCGGCTCATGTGTCTGTTTTAATTTCCAGGTACATTCTGTATACAGCTTTTTCAACGACTTCTGCACTGACAGACTGGAGCAGTGTTTTTTATTCGGTTTTATATACTTCACTACCTACTATTGTTGTCGGTATTTTGGACAAGGACTTAAGTCACAAGACATTGTTGAATTATCCAAAACTCTATGCTGCAGGCCATCGGCAGGAGAGCTATAATATGTCCCTCTTCTGGATCACTATGCTCGACATGCTATGGCAGAGCCTTGTTCTCTTCTATATACCCTTGTTCACCTATAGGGATAGCACAATTGACATATGGAGTATGGGTAGTTTGTGGACAATTGCAGTTGTTATCTTAGTCAATATGCATTTGGCAATGGATATTCAGCGCTGGGTTGTTATTACTCACATCTCATTATGGGGATCAATAAGTATCACATACGGTTGCATGGTGGTGCTTGATTCTATACCCGTGTTTCCTAATTATGGGTTAGTGCAAATATTAAGTTTTCAAGAAAATTCGACAATACTAATGTTATTATGTTGTGATTGTTTTTTTAAGGCTTGTCACAATTGATTTTTGTTTTGTTGCAGTACAATATACCATCTGGCAAAGTCACCAGCTTATTGGCTCTCCATTTTCCTCATAACAGTTGTAGGGTTGCTTCCTCGTTTTGTTTTCAAAGTTCTGCAACAAATTTTCTGGCCTTCAGATATCCAAATTGCCAGAGAAGCAGAAATACTGAGAAAAAGACGGCCTTTTTTTGGTCCGAAGCCAGATCGGATTTCAAGCTGACGTGGATGCAAGTTTTATTGTTTTAGTTAACCCTGTCATGGTAAAGCTCCCCTCTGGTTTGTCCATATATTGCTTCCCTTGGTCATTCAGGTGTAGAAGTTAATGGTAAGTTTATATATTTTTTTTATTTAATTGCAGTGCAGAACTTTTCCACGTCATGTTATGTAGCCGATGCTTGTATCTCTCTCTCATCTCAAGTACTTAAGAAAACTATGGTTGACATTTTGTCATAGTGCCATTTTTGTGGTTGTGTAGATCTATTTATACATAGCGTACAGTAATTGATATTTGCAGCATGTCATAATGTTCTCGGTGTTCAGATCTTTGTGGCATTTCCTTGCAAACCTGACTTCCGTAGATCTGAGCTCTTATGGACTATAACACACCTTGTACAATTTGGATTACGAGTCAAAAATCAGTTGAGACCTTTTGTTTTTTTTCACACATATATGGTTAAGCTGTCTTTTTGACAACTATATGGTTAAGAAGAGAACTTTACGCTGTATTGTAGGCAAGCTGGAAATGTTTACAAGGTTTCCCACTTTCTTGGATTTTTCTAAATCATTGCTTTTGAATGCTTCAGATTGCTTACCTGACTTGTTGCCAGCTTATGAACAAGTGGACAGAATCAAAAAATACTTGGCTTGATAGAAAAGTGAGAGAAGGGGGTCGATGCCTAGCTCTGTGTGTGGATCAAACAAGGTTAAAGACAAATAACCCAGTTGAGGAGAAATATTGACATAATGCCAGGAGGTGTGTGCGCTTCAATATTTTGCCTGGTGTGCTTGAAGATTGTACCGGCATAAATGCAATTTCAGGCCAGTACTTTAAACTTGAATCTCGAGTAATTTAGTTTTTGCCCGTAGGAGAAAAACAAAAAACCGAAGGGAAAGAACTGAAAAGTAAAGAGGAAAAAGTAAACAAATAAACAAAGGATGTAACTGTTTAGGAAAAGTGGGTGTTGATTTTACTGAACAAATCGAAGAGTGGTTTAAGGTTCTAGTAGCGGGATGAATGAAATAATTTTTATTTTCTCGAAACATGCCAGGTTATTTCATTTGCTCTTGTTGGTGTCAGCTGAGAAACTCCATTGTCCCTTGTGATTGTTTAGGTATCACCATTAGCAGATTGATATGCCATTGTTTATATGTGCATACAAAATAGAATATTAATTTCAATATTTCTCTAATCCCGGTTTAACATATTCGTTATTGATATACTTCATTATTGTGCATTTGTCTTCGAGACTTGAAATTAATTTTCTTCTCTTTAGAGGTTGGGACATATTATACGCTGACATAAAAGATTGCCTCTCTTATATATATTCTGACAGAAAATATAATTTGCATTTCCTTTGCATCTCTCTATTGTTAGGATTTTTGGCCACTTTGGAGAATAAATACAATTTGGTTAGAGCACTAAATGAACTACCAAAAAAGGATTTCTGTTTGTTGAGAATAATGTTTTATTTATTGTTATTAGAGATTCTCTATCTCTCTCTCCCTCCGCGCGTTCCACAAATAAATATGTAATCTTCATTTAATGATGTATGGAAACATATCAAGCATTCCAGATAAAACTCACAATTACACAATCACATAATGAAATATTCTACGCCTAAATTTTTTTTCCTATTTTTAAACCACACATTTTTGCAAAATTCACTATTCAAAACAATATTTTTTCTAAAAGAATGGCCACCAAACAGGGCGTAGTTAGAACTAAAGAATCTAGCTTCTAATTAAACCCATCAAATATGTTAATTTTAATAGAAATAAATTGATTTATCAGTCCTTCAATTTTAAGGTTTTAAATTTTAGATTAGATGTTTCAACATGCTATACTATAGACAAAAATTATGAATCTGAGTTTTACTCGTTAATTTATGAAAATGTCTTACCTTAAGGGTCCGTTTCATTGCTCCTTGAAAAATTAGGTGGAAAGGAAACGAATTCCAAGAAAAATAATTACCTAGAACTTGTTTCTCGAGAAATGTCAGTTAGTTGAGTTTGATTGGTATAATTTTCCACTTACAAAATGTTGAGATTTTCCATCTTTTGGTGTTTGATTGCTTTTGTTTTCCATGGAAAATTATGATTTTTTCCATCTTTAACTGTTTGATAAACTTTGTTTTTCATGGAATTTTTTTTCCAACTATTGATATAGATCAGTAATTTACATGTTTATGTTTTATAGTCACCTTATCAAATCGTGATTAAGAAATTATTAAGGTTTTCTTGGAAGAGATTTTTTAAAATCTTTTTTCCTAATATAATAATCAACTATTATTATAAGCTAATAACTCTTTGAAAACTTCCATTTTCATTCTCTCAAAACTTATCACATCCCGAAAACTTTACCAATGCACAAAGTTCATTTACTTACAATTCCACAACAACTAGAGAAGTAAAAGAAAATTGCATTATGTAACATCTAAGATAAGAAAATGGACAAAACTAGATTTGAGTTATTAAGAGGCATCGGCAGCAGTTTGGGTGACTCCAAACTTCACTAACAACTCATCCAAGGCCACTGGTGAGCAGACCTGATACTTCACTTTTCCATTAGAAAGGAGAACCTCAGCCAATTCAAGTTTCTCTGAAGTAAGATTAGTGCTGTCCAATGTCTTATTGAGTACCGTAAGAGCAAGTTGAATAGCCTCTTCCTTTGTGATTTCATCTTTGTAGTCCTGCTTAAGCATTGATTGAGTTGCCTGATTGTTTGATCCAATTGCTACAGTCTTCCAACCGCTGTAATTCCCACTTGGGTCACTCATGTAGAGCTGGAACCCATAATTTTTATCCCAACCTGCAAAAAGGAAAGAGACACCAAATGGACGGAGCCCACCAAACTGAGTGTAGCCTTGCTTGGTGTCTCACAAAAACTGAACTAGCTGTTCAACTGGCATTGGTTCTTGGTAAATATAGGTATATCGCTGAGCTTGGACTCTGGCAGTGTTAATAAGGATGTTGGCATCAAACGTAATTCCATCCACATCACATGCGACATGGTCATCAATCTTGTACATTTTCTCTGTGGATACTGAGGTCTGTAGAAGCTTGGAAGGCACTTTCTTTTCTCCAGCCAACACAACCCCATCTTTGGATAATATTCCTATGGCACTCCCTGCATTCCCAATGGCCTCCAGCGCATATTCTACCTGATAGAGAACCAAAACTAAACCAAGGCCAATTATCACAACTCCACCTGTCTACTTCTTCATTCCCAAATTTCCTCACATAGTATTCTTGTACACCTCCACCACCATATAACTAACTGATGCTTTTGATTATGTCACTAAACAAAAATGCCATCGACCTAATTCTCAAATCTTCTCTTCCATTATCATCTTCTGCAAACATAATGATCTAAAAGATCCAATCCAAAAGCAGAAAATAAAAGCAATAATTTAAAATTAGCTTCAAGTTCACATTTAAAAATAATTAAAGTGGAAAAAAATAAGAATAAAGTAAGCCCGCAAGGTTATTAAAAAGCGTGATTTTTCAACTTCAAGCAGTTCAGTTTTGATAGCAACTTTTTCTTGGGCCATTCTGAATTTCGACGAATCACAAAAGTGGAATCAAAGTAAGAATGATTGAGCAAAATCCAACAAAATTACACCAAAACATAATCAAATTGACAAACCCAGATGTAAAAACCAAAAATAAATAACATAAAGCCCATGTTATGAAATTGCAGAACAAAAAACAAAAATGAAACCCATTATAAAAGAAGATGAATAATGGGGAATCCAGTCGCCACCGAAAATGATGAAATGATTCATTTGGACTTAATTACAGAATTATCGAGAATATAACCAAACGTAAACAATACAATTCATTCCAAGTTCAAATTTGACTTGTAAAGTGGAAAGCTTCAACAAGAAAACAGAGATTTTGATGAGTGCACTACGAACCATACCCGCTTCTACGCCGGAGGAAGCGACGTAGGGTTCGTCGTGAGAGACGACTGCAGAAGATGGTCGTCGGCTCGGCTGAACTGGAAAACAGCAGCAATCGATTCGGCGTGAGAGGATGAGAGCGGGTTCCGGCGTGAAGGGAAATGGGTTTTGTGAATTCTATCTTCCTGGAAAATGTATTACCAGCTGAAAGACGGGAAATGATATTCCTTGTTTTGGTGGAAAATGGGGGAAAATGTAAAAAATTTTGACTGGAAAATTAAGTCTATCAAACAAGTGAAAAAGTGGAAAATTTGACTTATCAAACGGGACTTAGTGTGTGTTTGGTAGGGATTTTTTGGTGAAAGAATTGATTTTGAATAGTGATATGATGGGAAATGTGTAGTTGAAAAAGAAGATAAGATTATTGATGTGATAGAAAATATTATTTTATTGAAGAATGTGTGGTTGAAAATGAGAATTGATTATGATGGGAAATGTGTGGTTGAAAAAGAAGATAAGATTATTGATGTGATAGAAAATATTATTTTATTGAAGAATGTGTGGTTGAAAATGAGAATTGATTTACTGTTGAAAATGAGAATTGGTACCAAATATAGCCTTAATAGACTGATATTCAATAAAATTTCAGGAAATCGAATTTACTATTTATGTTATCGAATTATAAATACCCACCATAAAAAAAGATAGCATAGTGACGTTCATTATAGTCCATAGAACAATCTATCTATAATAGATGTTTCTTCTCACAAACTTTATTTATATTTGATTAATATAAATATACCTTCTATTTCTTCTCCTCCGTTGATAGTAACGTGAAACTATCTCATTTCCACTTAGTGTGATAATTAGTATGAATGGAAATACGAGAATTCTCGACAATGAAGAATGATACTCCGATCTTCGACCTTCGTTTAGAGGGCCTCATGTTTTGCTGCGGAGGGGTGCATGTCTTTATTTATTTTCTGAAGTAATTGAATGTCTCCTAAAGACTAATTCGTTACAAAATGGTTTTGAAACCTTTGCAAATGGTTTGTGATCTTTGAAATGTGCTGTTTTGTATAAAAACCTTAAAAGTCTTGAGATTTAACAAAGATTGGCCCATGTTTGTGATCTTTGAAATGTGCTGTTTTTTTGTATAAAAACCTTAAAAGTCTTGAGATTAAACAAAGATTGGCCCATTGTTGACGCGTATGCGAAAGGGTAAATCAAGTGGACCCCAAATATATATACATTTTTCCACCACGTGATTTGGATTTGATAGTTTTATGTGTGGACGAGGATCCCATTCACATTGCCTGCCAACCATTTTTTTCAAATACTTATTTTCAACCATATATCACACTATAAAATATTCTATACGTAAATATAAAATTTTTCTATATTTTTAATCACACTTTATCCTAAAAATTACTATTCAAAACTCTATTTTCTACAAAAAATGGTTGTCAAATACATTCATGTTATATTGTATTTTAGATTCTTAAAATATTTAACAATTAAGATTATGAGGTGTTGTTCGGTCTTTTTTTTTTTTCAAACTCATTTTTAATTATACATATTTTCAATTTTTTTTTTTTCTATTTTCTAGTCACAAATTTCTTTCACAAAATATTTCTCAAAAGATCCACTTAACCTTGTTTGATATTAAAACTATGACCAATGCTATCTAGCACATTGTTCAATACCAACAAATTTAGATGTCTCATTGAATGTTCCATAATTTCTTATATTTAATTCAACATATAATTTATTATCATTTAAACTGTTATTAAATATCAATTGTGCTAAGTACTTCACATTCCACACATAATTATTCTCTAATACCAAGAAAATATGATTATTAAACCTAGCAACGCGTGACCGTTTCTCAAGTGCTTGCTTATTTGAAGACAGAGTGACATTTGATGTGTGTTTGAACCACGTTATTTTAGAAAAAAAGAATTTTTGAATAGTAGATTGATGAAGAATGTGTGGTTAAAAAAGAAGAAAAAGTTATTGATGTGATGAAAAATATTATTTTATTGAAAAACATGTAGTTGAAAATTAGTAGAAGAATGAAAATGAAAATTTTAATATGGCTCAAATAAGGGCTTGGTTTTTAAGTCGAAGATGATTTGGTAATTTGACCTTTTGTAATCTTTATCTCCTCGTGCATGTGAAATCTTGACAAAACTCGTCTAATGTGATTTGATTGACGACTTGAAAGTAAAATATGATACTGAAAATGGAATAAGGTTATTTTCAATAAGATCGTAACTACCATGATTTTGTCACGTATACAAATCGACTAGTGATTTATTTATATTCCAAACTCCTAATTTAGCGTTCGTTTCGTTCCCATTATTTCACATTATAATGAGAGGAATAATATTTTTTTAAAAGAATATTATTTTATTGAAAAATATGTAATTGATGAGAAAAAAGCAAAAAAAAAAAAAAAAGAATTATGAGGGAGCCAAACCGAGCTTAATATCCCAATAAAAAAATATTCAATAATTAAACTTTTGTGATAGCCTCCTCCACGGTGCCAGTGGTACATGACGTCATCTGTGACAAGTTCAAGTATATGTCATGTAAAAATAACTACACACACTTTCCATCGCGCGTGAAAACTTCCTATGTAAACTTACCGTTCAAATGCTCGCACGCTCAAATTTATGTCATTTTGCAATTGGCTGCGCGTGGGATTGTCTACATGAAGTTTCCAGCAAGTTTTTAAGGGTGTATCTATAAAGTTGTTTCATATTTCTTCCTCAAGGCTCAAAAATGGAGTTCTCCACTGGCCGGAAAAGGGTGATCGACGAGTTGACTCGAGGGCGTGAACTCATCGACCACCTTCGAGTCATGCTGGATGGTGGTGTATTGAAACTGCCTTTGGCTGAAGGTCTTGTGGACAAAATATTGAATACTTTTAATGCGAGTCTTTTAATTCTTAGCCCAACTGTGTCCAACGAGGTTTCTCAAGTTCCGACTGTGAATTGCGATGGCCGGAAATCTGCAGATGAAAGTTGCAAGACTTCTGAGCCGAAAGATCAGAGAGGGCGATACAAGAGAAGGTAGTATAGCACTTCTTGTGTGGGTATATTCGCTACTTTGTTCAGTTCACTAATAAGTAGAAAATACTTTTCTAAATCGCAAACCTCTATGAATTGGAACTCTTTTAAGTGTATATGCGCTTGTTTGATCATCATTTTTTCCAATTTTTTTTTTAGCAACACACTCTTGAAACAATGTTACGCGCAAATTTAAAATTTTTCAGCATTTTTTAACAACACATTCTCCATCAATCTATTAGAGTGTGTTTGATAACACCCATTTGCCATGAAAAATGAAAATAAGCTCTATTTTTCTTGAAATTGGGTTGTTTGATGGCCAACTTTTTCTATGGAAATTGTGCCTTTGATTTTCCACAAACGCGCGCCTCTTTCTAGACGTGGAAGGAAAATGTTTTTTCAACTTTTAGGTGGGAAAAGTTTTTTCTGGTCTGCTGTCCTTTTTTTTTTTTAGCAATGGAAACAAATTTCATAATCAAGTGTAAAAAAAATTTCACTTTCATGGACAATTTTGATGCAAACGAAGGACAAACGAATTCTAAATTTTGATGAAAAAATGATTTTTTAGAAAATAAATTTTTTTTTCGTTTTTTTTTAACTTTTTCGCAATAGAAACAAATTTTATAACTAATTATGGAAAAAAATATCACTTTAATGGACAATTTTCATATAAAACAAAGCCAAACGAATAGAAAATTTAAAAATTTTCTAGGTGAAAAATTATACCAATCAAACACATTTGAAATCATTTTCCCTGCAAAACATTTTTTAAGCAAAATTTTTCCCTGTAAAATATTTTCTTTCCACCTTTACAATCAAACGCACCCTTATTTCAAAATGTATTATATACTAAAAATGAGACTCAAACATATTTATGAATGATGCTTCTCGTACATTCCTCGTTAATTTGGCATCCCATATGTATGGAAAATTTGGTCAATGATTGAAAAACAGTGTCGTTAAAATTAATGTACAAAAAATTTACCAACTCATATGATCTCAAACTTGATGTACATGTAGCACAATTGAAGTAGATACAGAGAAGAACAGTTGAATCAGTATACATGATTGATTGGTACGAAGAAGGATTTGTACAAGTCACTTCGTTATTTTTTGTCCTGTTATGTATTTTTAGTTATCAGATTAATTATGGCCTGCTTACTTTAGGAAAGGTAAAAGAACAAGAGAATAATAATCTCCAGTAGGGTAAACGAATCTTTAAGATTGATGATGAAAAATGACATTCCTTTTGTGATAATTGTACACTTATGAAATGTAGAACTTCTGAGTCATGGACAAAGGATACCCCAATTTTGTTTGAAGATGGCCATGCCTGGAGAAAATATGGACAAAAAGTCATCCTCAATGCCAAACATCCAAGGTACATTACATATAAATGCTTATGGAAATTAATTATGTTTACTATAAAGATAGTAAAATTTGTCGTTCTATTGTATAGGAGCTACTTGAGGTGCACCCACAAGTATGATCAAGGATGCCAAGCAAGCAAACAAGTGCAGAAAATTCAAGATGATCCACAAATATATAGGACCACATACTTTGGCCATCATACATGCAAGAATTTAGTCAACCCTTGTCAAGTCATCATGGATTCCACTGTTAAGGATTCTTCCTTCATCATGAGTTTCGGATCGGGGTCGACGAGTCTGGCGATACCATCATCCGATTACTTCGTGGCTCATGATCATCATCTTATGGGTGCATTTTCATCAGGAGCTGATCATGGGGATGTGATTGCTTCTGATTTATATTCTTGTACTACAAGTACTCACAGTATAGAGGCAGATATGATGATAGAGTCCCTCTTGGATGATTTGCTTGAATTTTGATGGACTATCCTTTTTATGACACTCGATTCACCTTTCCCGCTTATGGAAAGTTTGTTTTCATATAGTGCTTCTTGATGTTTTTTTTTATGAATAATCAGGTTTGATTAGAATTGTGGGCTGTGTTTCTATTTTCATCAAGCTTATCATATAATTTTTTTATGGTGGAAAATCTTAAGAAATTGAAATCAGTAACACAGATTAGCAGAAATCGTGCACCAGCAGATTGAAATCAACAAACAAGATCAACAAAAAAACGAATTTAACCAGCAGCAGAAAATGAAAGATAAATGCAGAGTAACTGAAAGATAGATTCAATAGATAAAATCATATTGAAGGAACTGATGATAGGAGATTTATTATTCATTCATCAAGCTCAATTTTAAAGGTGATTACATTGCTATATTTATAGATAAAACTTCTAACAAACATAAAAACAATCTAGAATAAGCTGGATGTGCTGGTGAGCATGTGAGAAGAGAAGGATCTGGAAGTATTGCTGTGCAGGCTGTGTGAACTGATGAGATGCTAGGAACGTGAGGAATATTTCAACAGAAAATGAACCAGAAAAGAAAATTATAGTAGAATCATTGCAAGAAATTTGATTGCAGAAAATTACAATAATTGTTAGGTACGTGGAGGGGAGGGGACAGGGACCCTCAGTTGGATTCAGATAAATCAGATAAAGAAAAAAAGGTAAAGCATATGAATAAAAAAGATTCATTAAATCTGCTCCCTTTCATGGATCAAGGGCTGAAATTTTTACTTGAATGAAAGTATAGTGCATTTTACTTTACAAAAGGTTAGGAATTAGCAGATGAACCTGGACTGGACGTCTCAACTATCTTTAAGACATAATGAACAAGAAGATTATTACTATCATTTTTTATATATATAAAAGTTTAAGTCCAACAAGAAGATCAGGTTCTTGTTGCTTGGATGCTTCACATGCATGGCACCAATCTGTACTTGAGTATATGATGAGATAAAAATAAATAAAATATTTTATCAAAAACGATAAATATACCGGATTTAAGTCTCATTTCATTTAATAACATTGCACGTGGGGAGAGGCAAATCTATAAGTGAATGTTTGACTTTGACGACGGCTATGCGACGAGAAGGGTGACAGGCTGATGGGCTTGGTTGAATATTGAAGAATTTTCTTTATTTATTTAAAACAATCTACCTTATTTGTTAAAATTTTCAAATTAATATATAAATTTGGAAAACCTATAATAAACCATTGATGGTATAAAAAAGAAACGTTATTGTTCATTTTGATCCCAGGTGGGCTGTGGAAGAAACAATTATTAATTGAGAAATTTACCTAAAACCCTTCTTTTCAAGATTACAATTCAAAAATCAAGTGGGGAGTTTAATTAATATATTATTAAATTCAATTAATTTAGAAATCAACCCGACCTCCCTCTACGCACCTCATTTCCCCCAAACTCGTTCTATCTCTACCTCTCCTATCTTTCTATCTCTCTCTCTTCTCTCCTCTCTACCTCTCTCCAATTTACTCGAGGAGCGCATTATTGCCCAGAGCTTGGTTACCCAGAGTGTGGGAGGGCTAACTCAGGTGGTCTGCCACCTTGGTTTGGCCGGACGGCTCCTGAATGGACAAAAATCAGGTTCTTGACAAAAATCAGGTTATCCAATATACCCGGTGAGCTCATTACCCGAAACCGAGAGGTATTCAAGGCTGCGAAAGGTACCGAAGACAATGATTTGGAAGAGCTTCAAGCGTGCTTTGAGTTGGGGTGCAACTTCGATTCGCCCAATTCAGATTCGAAATTGTCATATACTTTTCCAGAGTTAGGGTTTAATTTCCAGCCAAACTCATTAACTGTTGAATATTAACAGTATAATTTCCCGCCATTGTTAATATTTATCATTGGTGGTGTTGGCGTTGATGGTGGTAGTGGTGGTGCAGGTGATGGTTGTGGTGATCTGAGCTCCGAGGAGGTGGCGCTCGTGCTTTCAGGGCCAATTGAGGTGGCACTAGGCTAGTTAGCCATCTGGGCTTCACTTGAAGGTAGAACTGTGGCGGTGAGGGTTGTGTTTGTGTTTGGCTAGTTGTGTGTTTGAGTTTGGATTTGATTTATAAGTGGAATGGTGAGGGTGTTAGTAGTGGAGGAGTGGCTGACGGCTTGTCCAATTGTTAGAGTTTTAGTAGTAGTTAGAGTTATGGGAATTGTGTTGGTGGTAAGGTTAGTTGCTTTCTCAATTGTTTGATTGTGACCAATTGTGACTTGAGATTGACCTGGTCACAGGTAGTCACACTCAACACAAATTTTGTCACAGTTAGTCACATTGAATACACACTTGGTCAGAATTAGTCACATACAGTCACATTGAACACAAAATTTTTTTTCCCCTGTAATTTTTTTAGGAGGTGGAGGCAGGGGTGGGGTGGTGGTAGGTGGATCCATGGGTTGGGGGTGTGATTTCCAATTTTTAATTTTCTGAAAATTTTGAAATCG